TTTTTGGCTGCTTGGGGCGGCCAAAACCCTGGAGCCGGCCCTGGCCAGAGGCTGGTGGTGCTAGGGAACTGACTCACAGGAGGCACATACAAGGCTTCCTTGCCCGAAAGGCAGGTGGTAGCGAGGTGCCTCACAACCCTGGGTACCTCTGGGAAGCATCAAATAGCTATTAGGAGAGCATGCTCAGAAAGGTGTCCATGAAAAGGTGGCATTGAAAGCAGGGAGAGAAAAGGGACTACTACATCTCTCAGCATGTCACCACTTGAATATTGACAGATGCTTCATACATGTGACAAAAGAAAATTCATGTATCATCTGGACCTGCTTCTTGGCCCATTAATCTATTCACAGTGTTAAACTCTGAGGGTGCAATTCTGGCTCTATTGAAATCAATAGCAAAAATCCCACTGATGTCAAAGGGGCTTGGATTTCACCGAGGCCCTGGATTCAAAGACTCCCATTGACTTCAGTTGGCTTAGAATCAGGGCCTGAAATCTCAGGAGGGAAAAGATGTATTCTGCAGCTCTGTCTTCCGCAGTTCAGACATGCAGTTAGTGGTGGCAGTTCAGTTTTGTAAGTTGGCCATTCCCCCTTGACTTGTGCAGCCTGCTAGGACTCCTGCCACCAGGGCAACAGTCAGTGGCAGTTTGCTTTGCTTGTGACCATTTCTTTGCTAACTTTAATTTTTAAAACAGACTGGCTCAGCAGATGATTTGTCAGTAACTCAGACTAATGTCTGAATCAAGAAGTTTTCAGATCTGATCTGTAGAAGAGTTTTAATGTATTGAAAAGCATACATTGCATATTGCACTTGCAATGGTTGGATCCACACAATACAACATGTAGATTAAATGAATTCCTAAATTTAGTTCATCAAGACATTAAGCACTGTAACCTAAACAGACATCTTCATGGAACTTTTGTTTTTGTCACAAATATTGCTGCCTGGTCTTGCATTATTCAATTCCACTTAATTGCAATAATTATTGTTAGAGCCTTTCTTTAAATTATGATAGCATTTGTGTTTTAAAAATGTTAAAATATCAGAAATTTATTATATTCTTTGCAACCCCCTAAATAAAACAGCCTGCTATATGCTAGACTTGGTTTCTAAGAAAAAGCATCATTCAATCAGGATAAATCAATACCAAATGATCATGCAAATCAACACAACAATCTGATTTGAAATTTAAGTGACAGAACATAAATTTAGCATGCCCAATGTTGCTTAAAATGTTACACATGCCTTTTAAAAAATGCAATTGACTTTCATTTGTCTGGCAACAAACAACACTGCACATACTTTTTGCTACCAACCTGAGTAATAAAAATGGTGCTTTTTGGTGAGAATGGAATGGAATCCTTGATGCTCCTGTCTTCCTCCAACTGCCTGGCATGGCAATAGCTGAATGCACCTTGGCTTGGGTAAGAATTCTGAGCTTTCCAACAGATGTAAACATTGATTTTACAATCTTTTAAGGCAGGGATTTTTGATGGAATGGAGGGGGGAAGAGGGTTGGTCACTTGTAAAAATTAAGAATGCCCAGTGCAGTGTTTGTGGGATAATGTTGCCTCAGTCATACTTTGTACAGATTAATTTGTAAGTGGGTAAAATTGGAACTCAGAACCAGATGGCTGGTGTTTTTGTTTTTACCAAATTCTGCCTGTGAATGTGGAGTGAGTGAGAAAGTGGCGATCACTTAAGTGAAATAACTTGCATATTGCTCTCTGATGAAGGAGGCCAGTTAATCAACCAAAAAAACAAAAAAAGGACGTTCAGATGAGACGGTGGGAGTCTGTGATGTAAACTCACAACAGCTAGAAAATCCAGAGTTAAGGCTGCAAATCTATTCTTAACGCCCGCTGGTGCTAGCAATAGTCCAGCACATACCCGCTACGTCAGCCCAGGCACTGAGCAACAGTCCCTAAGCACGGAGGCGAGGGTGCCAGTCTTTGAGGGTCAGTTCCCGATCTGCGGAGCGGGGATTAACCCCCCGACAGACCCAGAGAGCCCGGGCCGGTCGGGTACATTTCCCAGGCGCTGCCCGAGGGGCACTGGACTGTGGGTGGCTGCACAGTGCCTGCAGCCCGGTCACTGCCCTATATAGTCAGAGCAGCCACCTGCTGGCTCCCAGCCCCGCCCGGGGCGCTGACTTATTGGGGCACGTGTCCGAGGGAGGAAAATGAAGGGGAACCGCTCAGTCCCGTCACTGCCACGAGCTGGGCCAGCGAAGCCCCCAGCCCTACCTCAGAGCATGGGGTGGGGAGCGGGCTCTGCCGGGCTGTGCTGCCGGCTGCTTGGGCTGCTCCTGTGTCTCAGCGGCGCGCTCCAGCCTGCAGGTAAAGGAGGGATCCCGGGTCCCATAAGGCGGGGGAGGATCGGGTCCAACTTCGGCTGCCCCTTGGCAAAGAGGCTATAGGGGCAGGGTCACTGGGGTCCTCCTGAGCCTGCGGATTCTCCCAGCCCAGGGTCCTGGTCCTCCCCCACCCCAGAATACTTGCCCGGAGGGGGAGTGGGTGGGGATGTGTCTGGGGGCAGGGGTGACACTTCTGGCGTCCCAAGGCTGAAGCTGGTTCCTTAGTCCCAGGTCTTTATTCCAAAGGCCATCAAAAGTCATTGCTGCAGGCTTATAGTTTTAGAAATCTCACCAGACTAAATGCTCTTGGATGTTGTAACAATATATATTCGAGCAAGACCCCCAATCCCACATGGTGTAATGGCCTCTCACTTGCAATAAGTAACTGATGTCTAAGGGTGTATACCTGACAAATAACTTGACACATGCCTGCAACTATTAATCTGTTCTGCGGTAGATGGCACATGCCACTCCCTGACCTGAAGCTTTACTTCTGTGCAACATGCTGTCATATATCACCCACCCAATTTTCCATTTTGCAAATGCTCCTGGAGTGAGGAATTGGCTTTGAGTAGCTGTCAGAAAATCCTTGGCACGTCAAGTGACTCATCCTTATGACTATTAGGCTGTTCCGAAGTAGCTGGCACATGCCATTCCCTGACACACAGCTTTATTTCTGGCCCCCGTCCTTCCTTTCTTATTCAAAGAGCATTAGCAAACTGCAAGAGGGTGGGGCTATGGGGTGGCAGCATTTAGTCCAGACATATCACCTGGGGTCAGAAAATGGCATGTACCAGCTTCTTCAGAACAGTTTCAGAGTCTCCTCTTATTGACAGCAAAAAGTGCATACAGCCTTTAACAGCGGAAATGTTAATTTGACACATTTTCTCTATAAAGCTTCACTCCAAACTGTAATATGTGAGCAAACCTAAACATAGTGCCAATAGCATGGAATAAATATTCTACCCCAGGAAATGATTTCATATCTAAGAGATGTCCTATTGGGCAAAACCTTAAGAGTTAGAGCTGAGAAGCTCTCAGCTGAACTATTTTTAAGCCACAGATGGGTTGTAGCCTCTCAGGCTAGACGGCCACTAAAAATAGACATGTAAAAGGGAAGTACTATGCCAGGTATTCCTGGTGGACCAAATCCTCAGGGCTGGTTATTCAGTAACAGTGGATAGGGGTAATCCCTCACTGCCACATAAACTGTTCCATGAATTGGGCAGATTGATCCTCAGGACAGTTGGCTCAGTGCGGAAGCATCTCACCTCTTCTTCACAGAAGCAAGTTGGAGAATTGTTTGAGAGAAGAAAAGGAGGTCACTTAAATCCTTACTTCTCAGATCAGCTCACAATAACCCAGTGCTTCTCCCTGACTTGGCCAGCAGGATCCCATAGCCACTCCTATGGAAAGGGGGTTGGAGGATTCCTGTGTTCTAAAAGATTTTTCTTTTTCTTTTGTTTTTCAATGTCCTTTTAATTGTCCACCTGACCTTATCACCTCCCCTGGTTGCCAATTTCAGTGTTGTCAGCTGAAAGTGCTGCATAAGGGGAGCACAGTCCTTCTAAAGTTCCTCTGGGGGCAGTGGGAAGAGAGAAGAAACCAACCCACCACCACCACACACATCATGGCGCTATGAGTATGCAGTGCCTCCCCACCACTTCAGGCATCATGAATTCAGTGCTGGTGGGGTGGGTGGGGATGAATTATTTGGTGACCCATTAGGGAGGAGTTTCCCCCCTCCACATCTGCTGAAGTTGCCTCCATAACTGAAGAGCCCAATTTGGCTGCATAGATATGGTGGTTAGGTTCCCCACTGCTTCAGGACTCTGCAGTAACAATTAAATTCTTGAGACCACCATCAGACCTCCTATGGTCCATACAGGTCTTGTCAATGCAATGAGTACAGTAAGGAAGTGATACAACCTACATTCTATCCCCTGGTAATCTTCCTCAGCCTCAGCACATGCCATCTCATGTCATCTCTCCACCTGAATGAGTGTTATACAAGGATTCCTGAAGCTCCTGGTACGTGAGCAATATGAGTCTGAGTTCGGAAAGTTGAAAATCAATAACTTTAAACCATGTGTGAATGCACAAGACTTAGAGGGAGCCCACAAATTTGAGAGGCTGAGGTCACAGTTCTCATCATTATTGGGTGATGCTGCATTACACCATCCTGTGTGTACAGAACATGGCAAATGGAAAATAGGGACAAGAGCAGAAATGTACCTGAATGGAGACAGTGTCCCCAAGACGGCCCATAGGCAGCCAAGCAAGAAAATGTGCATATGGTGCCATTTCTATAACTGTTATCACTTAGATTTGCCAAAGATTGAGATTATGGAGATCCTGGAGTTGTTTCCTGGATATTTTGAAACACCCAGTGAAATTCTGAGTCATTTCCAAAAATAGACTTTTTGTAATAATCTATCTATATTAATTATTCATTTGTCTTTCCCCTCAAGGGGAAGGCAAAAGAAATTGGTGATGTTGTGTCCATCTCCCTAGCAGTGATGGGGAGCCAGCAGGACAGTTTTTCCTTCAAAGGAGATGGACAAGTGACTCCTGGCTTAGGGCACTAGTCTGGAACTCACCTGCGTTAAATTCTCTGCGCCACCTTCCTGGTTGGCCGTGGGCAAGTCATTCAGTCTCTCTGTGCATCATATCCCCATGTGTAAAATGGGGATAATAGCACTTCCCTACCTCACAAGGATGCTGTGAGGATAAAATACATAAAAGAGTGTGAGGTGCTCAGCTATTATGGTAATGGGGTCCATATATATATACCTGGGATGGACAGATAGATAGAATAGACATTTTTTTCCCATCACGTGCTGCTGTAGTTCTACCACAAAGCTCCAGTGTATTACATGTAAAATGCAGTGTATTCACTGCTAAAGTTCCTCCTGCATTGTAGTTCCCAAGAGCCAGGGCCACCCAACTAGCCTGTGTTATCTCTATTATTTCATTCAAATAAAAGCAAAGATTGTTATTCATAAAGCCATTATCAATTTAGGAAGGAAAGCTTTCATTAGATTACCATAGAGAGAGGTTATAAAGGATTATGGGTGCAGAAACAGGCTACTAAAAAACTGCATGATTGTTGAGCCAATAATAACTCTTTTAAAAGGAACCTTGCCTTTAGAATGTATTGCTCCAAATATACATTTTCTATTTTTGAAGAAACTCTTCAAGTGTTGATGGGAAGCACCCCACTGATCGTGTCATTGAATGATAACATCTCCATACCATGCAAGATCTCTGGGTACAATACAGCAGAACTGGATAGCAAGAACGTGGGAGTTACCTGGTATCTTAAGACTCCGAGGACAGACCAAGAAGAAAAAGTATTCACATTTCATGCTGGAGCACATATTTCCCATAGAAATGGGGCCAGTATGTCTGACAGTGACCTGAGAAGAGGAAATGCTGCACTCTCTCTACCACAGATACAGTTTAAGGAAGCAGGAATATATAGGTGCTATGTTATTGTCGCACCTTCTGATGCTCATGGAACAGCTGTTTTAGAGGTAGTTGGTAAGTGACTTTATTGTACCATTTCTTTTATACTGCATCACCTGGAGACCCGAAGGCAGAAGATTAGAATCCATTTTAGTGGTACCAGTTTCCTCACCCCCCTGAGCCTCTGTGGGGATGGGGTGGGGGTGAGAATTGCATTATATCAGTGGAATAGCCACAGCACCTGGGTAAGCTGTGCTAACAGTTATGGTGGTGGTGTGGTGAGCCCAGCCTTCTGCAGGAGATTTTATATGGGGATTAGCAGTCTTCATCAGGCTAATGTATTTGGAGTTTATCCTGGTATTTTTTATATCTCTCCATCATAGTTGCCTTTAAAAGGGCACAGTCCCTATTCCTTATTCACTGTCACTTTCCTTGCCACAAGCAGAGAAGACTGCAGTTCATTTCCCCCTGCAACCTCTCCATAGTTGTATCAGTCTAAATATTCCCCTTCCATGAATTTTTTGCAGGTCAGGGGAAAATATGGGCCTAAATAGCCTGTTTGTCATAATCTCTAAGGTTTTGGCCAGGTAAGGTTTTCATTATCCAATCCTCAGACTTGCAGTGGCATTTTTAATATCCAGACATGCTCTAAATCTGAGAAACTCTATTAATTTTGTAGATACTTATTTACAAAGAGCAGAAAACAACAAAACTTCTAAAGTCCTAATGATCATAAATGCTATTTATTTTCTAAAGAATATTCACGTCTGTGATCTTGTTTCTGGAGAAAAAATGACTAGATTATAAAAAAAAACCCCAAAAACAAAACAAAAACCCCCCACTCCTGCAATGAACATTAAACATGCACATATCAGACATTTAGGTAATGTGTGTGTTCAGTGTACATTAACACTGTTAAAGAGCCAGAATATCCCTGATGATGACGACAGTAATAAAACCTTTATCTCCATACAGCTCAACCGGAAGTCAGCCTGTCTCCAAAGGAAGTTACAATAGAAAGTGACAAGGAGAAGACCCTGTCGTGTGAAGTCAATAAGTTCTATCCAAATTTGGTTGACATTAAGTGGATGAAGATATCAAAGAATAACCAGGACAGTAGCGTAGCAGCAGAGGATATCCACACAGGAGCCTCTATAGAAAATGAAGATGGCACATTTAATGTCACTAGCATACTAAGGCTGCAACCGTCTTTGCAAGATAATGGAAATGTCTATAGATGTATTGTGAGTCACAAAACATTTCCTGCCAAGTTACTTCTCAATAGCACCTTGACTGTCACAGGTATCCATCCCCTTTAGGGTCTTATCTTCTTTCTTTTGATATATCATGTGTTCCAGAATGCTATGGCTAGACCTCTTTTGAAGGAATTTGAACCTTGTCAACCTTATGCTGTCCCAGCGGTGCAGTGATACCAGGTGTCATCTGAGATAGACAGCAGGGCAGGAGAGCTGGTCATGCAGTGACATTCAGAACAGTCCGCTTGCTGACATGCCAGCCAGAAAGGGAGTGAGAGGAGTGGCAGAGCAGCCAAGGAGAGCCAGTTCAGTGAAAAGAAGGGGTTGAAATGTGGTGGCAACATTTCAAAGGTCTGACGTTTTGATATCAGGGCTTTTCTGGATGCACCATTTTAGTGCCATATATTTGTGTTGGTAAGATTGGGTGACATGCCACATTTTAGGGCCTCTCTGAGCTAATTGAGTTGATCCACAGGTGTGTTTTACAAAAGGCTGTCTTGACCCTACATTTTTTTATCCTCATTCTATAGAATGTTGTTAATATTTAAGTTTTTAAGTGGGCATTTTGAGACCCTTAATGCTGTCTACTTATGGGGAAGGCATTTTGAAGCTGTGGTTTGATACAACACAATGTGCTGGCAGTTATTCTGTGATTTCTTTAGTAGTGTAGTGGCTAGTAGAAGTTTTACTCCTACTTTGACTTTCTTATGACATCAATTTCCAATACTCAGCAAGAAAAATAACCAGTTAATCATTTACTGTGAAAGTGTAGGTGCAGTCCACTAAAATTTGTTTTTTTAATATGAACAAGCATAGAATCAGAATTTTCTTTATTTTTTTCATTCACAGCCCCCAAGTCAGATTTGAACACTATAATTGGAGCAGTCATTGGAACAATACTAGCCTGTATTATTGTGCTCGGTTTGGGTACTTTCGTGTACTGTAGGTGTTTGAAGAAAAGTAAGTAGTTTTAAAGGTACACTGTGCTAAGGATATCTTAATGGCAACTAGTAGCTCTTGTGAATGCTTGAATTCTAAGCCTTAACACCAGTGACAAACTAACAATACTCAAAACCTCAGAATGTTCGTTATCCACTCACCCATTAAGTGAAGGTTAGTCATCTCCCACCACGCTTTTGCTCCCTTGCTTATGAAAAAAACAATGTTTGCTAAATGTGTCAGGTGCCTCTGAAGCCCTTTGGGAAAAATTGGGGTCATACTGTATGTGACTAGAACATTTTAAACAACCTGTAACTTGATAGCTATCAATCAGGAGAAATGACAGGCTTGGTAAGAAATGCTCTGCTTTCACATACTGTCACATAAAGGTTTGCTCTTAAAGTTGCCTTTTATTGGTTTAGTAGCACAAACACAGCATCAATAGTAACTGGAACTAACTTAAAGTGGTAACTCTTAACAGTACGATGATCCATTTTTGTTAGTGTAACTGTGCAGAAAAAACACTGACTCTCACACACACAAAGGGAGAAGTAACTCCTGCCCAAATCACCGCCTTCATGAGAGAGATTCATGTAACAGGCTGAAAAGTCAGAGGCTGTAAGTAGCTGACCCTATAGTCACTTATCTGCCAAGAACTGTGGATAAGAAAAAAAACAATTGGGGCATTTGAATCAAGGGAACTCAACTGGATGGTTTATCAGTACAAAAATATATATATATATAAAATATAACAGCATTGGCAAACATAAGTAAGTACATCAGAAGCAGGAAGCCTGCTAAACAACCAGTGGGGCCACTGGACGATCGAGGTGCTAAAGGAGCACTCAAGGATGAGAAGGCTATTGTGGAGAAACTAAATGGATTCTTTGCATTGGTCTTCATGGCTGAGGATGTGATGGAGATTCCCAAACCTGAGCCATTCTTTTTAGGTGACAGATCTGAGGAATTGTCCCAGATTGAGGTATCATTAGAGGAGGTTTTGGAACAAATTGATAAATTAAACAGCAGTAAGTCACCAGGACCAGATGGTATTCACCCAAGAGTTCTGATGGAACTCAAATGTGAAATTGCAGAGCTACTAACTGTAGTCTGAACATATCATTTAAATCAGCTTCTGTACCAGATGACTGGAGGAAAGCTAATGTGACGCCAATTTTTAAAAAGAGCTCCAGAGGTGATCCTGGCTATTACAGGCCTGTAAGCCTGACTTCAGTACCGGGCAAACTGTTTGAAACTATAATAAAGAACAATATTGTCAGACATATAGATGAACATAATTTGTTGAGGAAGAGTCAGCATGGTTTTAGTAAAGGGAAATCATGACTCACCAATCTACTAGAATTCTTTGAGGGGGTCAACAAGCACGTGGATCAAGGGAATCCAGTGGATATAGTGTACTTAGATTTTCAGAAATCTAACAAGGTCCCTCACCAAAGGCTCTTACACAAAGTAAGCTGCTATGGGATAAGAGGGAAGGTGCTCTCATGGATTGGTAACTGGTTAAAAGATAGGGAACAAAGGGTAGGTATAGATGGTCAGTTTTCAGAATGGAGAGAGGTAAATAGTGGTGTCTCCCAGGGGTCTGTTCTGGGACCAGTCCTATTCAACATATTCATAAATGATCTGGGAAAAGGGGTAAACCGTGAGGTGGCAAAATTTGCAGATGATACAAAATTACTAAAGATAGTTAAGACCCAGGCAGACTGCAAAGAGCTACAAAAGGATCTCTCAAAACTGGGTGACTGGGCAACAAAATGGCAGAGGAAATTTAATGTCGATAAATGCAAAGTAATGCACATTGGAAAGCATAATCCCAACTATACATATAAAATGTTGAGGTCTAAATTAGCTGATACCACTCAAGAAAGAGCTCTTGGAATCATTGTGGATAGTTCTCTGAAAACATCCACTCAATGTGCAGCGGCAGTCAAAAAAGCGAACAGAATGGTGGGAATAATTAAGGAAGGGATAGATAATAGTACAGAAAATATCATGTTGCCTCAATATAAATCCATAGTACACATAGCACATCTTGAATACTGTGTGCAGATGTGGTTGCCCCATTTCAAAAAAGATATATTGGAATTGGAAAAGGTTCAGAAAAGGGCAACAAAATGATTAGGGGTATGGAATGGCTTATGTATGAGGCGAGATTAATAAAACTGGGACTTTTCAGCTTGGAAAAGAGAGGGCTAAGGGGAGATATGATTGAGGTCTATAAAATCGTGACTGATGTAGAGAATGTAGATAAGGAAGTTTGTTTACTACTTCTCATAACACAAGAATTAGGGGTCACCAAATGAAATTAATAAGCAGCAGGTTTAAAACAAATAAAAGGAAGTATTTCTTCACACAACGCACAGTCAACTTGTGGAACTTCTTGCTACAGGATGCTGTAAAGGCCAAGTCCATAACAGGGTTCAAAAAAGAACTAGATAAATTCATGGAGGATAGGTCCATCAATGGCTATTACCAGGATGGGCAGGAATGGTGTCCCTAGCTTCTGTTTGCCAGAAGCTGGGAATGAGCGACAGGGGATGGATCACTTGATGATTACCTGTTCTGTTTATTCCCTCTGGGGCACCTGGCACTGGCCACTGTCAGAAGACAGGATACTGGGTTAGATGGACCTTTGGTCTGACCCAGTAAGGCCATTCTTATGTAATTAATTTTGATAGGTTTTTAGTGTATTGAAATACAGTGTAAAGTTATGCAGCAGAGATAGAAAAATTTCAGTTAATTTTTTCACTTGTCTTTCTTCATAATGTGGTGCATCAAACAACTAATTTACATATTTTTCCTTGCAGTTCCACCTGTGACGTGACACTCCATATTCGTTATACAAATATGCCTACGATATGAATATGGCATAACTAAAATATATTTTATGCAAGATGACTCACGTAAGATATAATTGGAAAGGTTATGATTTACTGAATGTGATTATCCAATTTGTATGCATGTATCATTTCTGTATCTGGAGTTAGGAATATTGACTATGTAATAATTACAACCATGGTTATACTTGGAGATGCCCACCACAGAGTAAGCAATCAGCCTTGATGGGCCATTAGGAAAAGACAACGAGTCTTTAAAGATGTGGATCTCCTATCTTCTGGGAGTTCCTTCCTATGGACATTGCAAATAAACCTGGTTTCATAGTTGCTTTGACACTGCTAGGTCACTGGACAATGTCACCTGGTACAAAGTACCACCTTGGACACTGCTGGTACTTTTCCACTGGAGACAAAGGCTTCCTGCCTTATGTAAATTCTATTTAAGGCTAGGGAGTAAGACAAAGAGGACTCTTCTCCATTGCCTTCCTGCCCAAGAAGAAAGACTGCTGAACGTACCTGAAGAGACAAAGGAACTGAGCTGAAGGCAAGGCAAGGGCTGAGTCCAGGCTGAGACGGGGGTACAGTCTTTAAAGAGAAATAACTGGAACTCTAAGCTACAGAAACTCTGCAACTTGCCTAAAATAACATTTAGGGTGAGAAATTACATTTTGTAACCCGTGTCTTGAGTGTATTAAGCTTAGTTTGAGTGTTTGGTTTTATTTGCTCAGTAATCTGCCTTGTTCTGTTTGCTATCCCTTATAATCACTTAAAATTTACCTTTTGTAGTTAATAAACATATTTCTTGTTTATAACATAACCCAGGTTGTGCAACTCATATCTGGGGGATGGCGGGTGGGCAAAAAGCTGTGCATATCTCTCTTCACATTGAGGGAGAGTGCAATTTTTATGAGCTTATGCTGTACAGATTTCTCTATAGAGCACAAGACCATATTATTTTGGGTTTGCACCCCAAAAGGGATGTGCACGTGAGTGCTGGGTATAATCCCCGAGCTGAGTCTTCCCACACAGAGCTGGTTGCAGTCTGTGTCTGCAGCCTGACGTGGCCTTACCTGTATGTGTGCAAGAGAACGCTTGAGAGCCTGGCACAGCAAGAGCAGGGCGAGGAAACCCGGGCTGGTGGAAAGGGCAGGCTCAGTAGGACTCCAGCACATCAAGTGGCATCCCGGAAAAGGGGGTCCAACCTGTCACACCACCAACAATAATACCATTCGTAGGGAATGCGGAAATGAAGCATTTGGAAGATGCTTTTTTGCATTGCCAGATTTCAGGCTTTCGCCTAAAACCTTTAAGTGTAGCCTTTTTTCTAAACAAGTATCAACAAGAACAAAAGGAGAAAATTTACGCTTGGAACAGTAAAATAAAGAGTGCCCTCGAACGAGATGGGGAAAGTGCTGCTGTCCTGACTATGTCAAAGAATTTTCAGTTTCAGATACATTTGAAGTCACTAGGTAATGGCACTTTCGAAGTTCCGTGCACTATTCATGTATCTCCAGACGTGCATGAGCTTGACAAGGCAGAGCGCTCTCTTGAAGTGACACATAAGGCCCTTCAGCAATGTTCTGCTGTTCAGTCAAGAACACTGAAGGTCATAGGTAAGCAAAGTGCTTTACAGTATGTAAAGGGGTTGGTTTAGCTTCTGCAAGTGCAGTAGGTTTCCTGTTGACAGGTTCATAGCTGGCATTACAATAAAACATTTCTCAAAATGAATATTGAGTCTAGCTCCACACTGCAAATCCACATGATGGGAAATTCAGGCAGTAATTGGTTTTTTTTGGTTTTTTTTTTGCTTCAGGGTAGTGAGGCTGGGTGTTTTTTTTCTGAGGATAAGAGTCATTTGCTCTGCCCAGGGCTTCCTTTCCTGGATGATCTCTGGGCTTTAGTTATCCTTATCTGTACACATAGCATTGCTGGTGGTAAGATAATAGGTCCTGCCTATGTGGCTATGTCATTATATCAGTACTGAATTCCCCGGCATCTAGTCATTCTCCTTGTTCCCCGCCTCCCCCGTATAAGATGTTAAAGTCACAAAGTGCTTCCCTAGTTTGCATTTGAAATTCCTAGAAACATGGATGCTTGAGAATGACAGGTCCTTTTAAGTATTCATAAGTATCATGTACTTCTTGCAATGGAGAACTCAAAGGATACACTTGATATGGACATAGAGTCTAAAGGAATTACAGATGGTAGGAAGTATGCCTGGCTAGTATACTGGCCTGCCACCCTAAAGAGGGCATAGTCTGTGAATTGGTGGCATGTTTAACCTCTGAAAAAACCCAAATCACTGGCATATATGTTGTCATTAGCAAATGATGACTGGTGACACTCCTTTTGCTACTTCTCAGAGATGCAGCAATATGAATTTCGCAACACATCCCCCTATCCTGACCTGGGTCTTTATTTTACATGATTGAAGTCAGTGGAAGCTTGACTATTGATTTCAATGGGCACAGGTTCAGGTGGTGGTCAGAACACACATGTGGCAGCTCCCTTTTGTTATGTAAGTTAGGGCACAATTCAACCCTTACTCTATGGTAACAGTGCCTCTAATTTGGTAGATGTGTGCATATGAACCCTATTTTTTCATAAATTTTTGTACAACTTAATGCTTATGAGCAAGAGTTAGCAGCAATGGCTTGAAGCAGACTGGTGTAGATTGGCAAAGCTGGAGTGGGAACCTATGTACCTCATTACTGATTGGTAGCATCCCTGCAATCCCAGCTCCTTGTTTTTCCTTGAGAGAAGATACACCGTTTTATCTGAACATGGTAAATGTACACACACGTATATAGATATATTTTGTATCAGATATAGTTCAGCATAGGGATAACAGAATTTAAAGATGAATATACTACACAATAGTTGGTAGAACAGTGTCAATAAGACAGTATTCGATAACATTCAGAGCTCATATTTTACTACCTGATAACATTCAGGTGGAAAGTCCTACATATATTTGCTCTTCCATTTAATAATACAGAACTTGACATTTAAATTTGTTATTTTAAACATTGACTACTATGATTAATGTGGCCCCTTTAACTGGAATAAGATCTACATCTACCAACTCTCATTCAGAACCAGAGACTACTGTATATTGGGCCCAGATTTCACAGAACTTTTCTACTGTGTCAGAGACAACATGTACAAGTTTGAGTTGCTTAAGGTAGATATTGATGTCATGGCATCACATTTTCAATGTTGGAACCGCAGGAGTTACATGTAGATTCAGAATTACCTGTTCCCCAATCACTGACATTCTTGATGCCAAGCTCTGAATCAGTTAATTGATCTTTTGTATCTGCTTCTGAAATTTAGGGGTTAGGTCTAGAATTGAGAAGACAGTCAAGTTTTCTCAAACAGATTGGCTGCTTAGCAGAACAGATGTGTAAGGTTGCAGCTTCAGCATATCAATGAAGCAATCTTCTGCCCAAAGTTAGAGGTACCAGTATGTAATGTTTGCTTTCTGTTCAGAGCCATAGGTGAGTAGTAGAGCTTCATAGTATAAAAAACTGCATCTCTTTGTAAGTATTGCATATAGATGTTTCAAATGCATACTGCAAAGTGCACGCTCACAGTCTATTTACCACGCTAGCTTTCAGATCTGTAGGTTGTGATTCAGAGCATAATCTTGGGAGTATTTTGTTCTAAATAAAAGTATATAATATTGATAGACATCCAAAGGAATTCTTATTGGTGGGAGGGGGGTTGATTTTTCCTGAACAGACATCAGAAAATATCTCATTTACAAATACATGTAGAATACACCAGTGGGAAGCTAGAATTTAACCTTTGTTACATTTACTTTGTGATTTTTTTAAGTTCACTTTTTGATGTACCTGAGGACAGTATTTCATTTGGCACAATGTAAAATGTTTTACTTTTGAGTGAAATTATGAAACTTGGGAAAATGCATCAGCTCTTATAAAACCTCAACAGTTGCCGTTTTAAGAGATGCCCCAGCATAAGAGCTGATAGCGTGCGGTTTCTGGCAGGAGATACTCAGCATTTTATAGGACTCAGACATATATTGTTCATCAAATTTTAAAAAGTGTGCAAATCTGATTGTTTTCCTTTCTAGCTGTGCCAGTGTTGGATCCAGTGCTGTGTTCTACAGATGTGCCAAAACCAGATGAGCATCTAACTTTGACTTGCACAGTTCATTCTTTCTTCCCTGAAACAATTGATTTGGTATAAAGATGAACAAGTGCCAGAGAAACCCTTCATTAGTGATGTGACCAAGGGACCAGAGGGGCTTTTCTTTTGCACCAGTACATTAACATTTTGTCCTAAAGTTGAGGAACTTGGAAAGAAATTCATATGCAAAGCTAAATTTAAAGGCTCAAACCAGTATAGAGAATCTGCTTGGATGCGGAAAAATTTGAGTGAGTTAAAATCTCAAAGTGTTATTTATTTTCTTTTAGTAGAATGACAGCTTTGTAACTGTCCCCACTCAAACCCTTTATGCATAATTCTGCTAACCCCCAACTGCCCACTTCATTTCAAGTGACCACCTCCAATGTGTGTTACCCCTTCTGCTTAATCTGTCCCAACTTGTATTTACCTCACAAGAAGGGAAGAACAGTATGAGGTCATCCTGCCTCCTGAAACAAAGTAATTGAGCTTTGGAAGATATAAGCAAGGACAGAAGCCATCTTTGGCATCCATCACTAGGCAGACACAGGGGCATAGAACTCTTACGAGCTGAGACAGATAGGTCCTTCAACAAAGGGGTGGGAGTTGAAGTCTCTGGAACCGAATATAAGTGAGAAACATGCAGGAGAGAGAAGCTTGGCCTGGGTTTTACTTTTCAAAGAATACATTGCAAAAGTTTACTGATCTATAAAGATGGGGGGGGGGGGGGGGGGGACTGAAACTGAAGCGATAAACAACTGAATCAACTGATTTTATATAATATTACTGTATTATACAAGTATATAAAGTGAGGTCATGTCTGAAAGCTAATGACAAACAGGTGATTAATATCATTGTGAAATGTATGTATTAACATTATATAAGGAGTTATGGATACTCATTGATATTAGGCCATACGGTCTGCCCAGACAGGAGGGAATGTC